GTCCGAGAAGAAGCCGCCACGCTGTGTTAGCGCTGACCTTCGATGCGCCAGCGATCACCCGCTCGTTTTTCCCATCGTCCCCGAAGCCTTCCTGACCCACTCCCCGAAGCCAGAGAAGCCTCCACGCCAACCTGCAGGCCCAGACTCTGTTACATCGGCCAGGGCATATGGCAGGATAAGCTAGGAGATGGTAATCGGCTTTCGCCAGGAGGATGCGCTTTTATGGTTACTTGGTGATTTTGGTGGCCTCTTGAGGCCCCCCAGGGACCTGGACATCCCCACAGACGTGGAGGAGGAGGAGGAGGAGGAGGAGGAGGAGGAGGAGGAGGAGGAGGAGGAGGAGGAGGAGGAGGAGGAGGAGGAGGAGGAGGAGGAGGAGGAAAGAGGAGGAGAGGAGGAGGAGGAGGAGGAGGAGGAGGAGGAGGGAGGAGGAGGAGGAGGAGGAGGAGGAGGAGGAGGAGGAGGAGGAGGAGGAGGAGGAGGAGGAGGAGGAGGAGGAGGAGGAGGAGAAAGAGGAGGAGGAGGAGAAAGAAGAGCAGAGTGTGGGCTGTACTGGTGAGGGCGGAGGCGTAGGAGAGGGCCGGGTGGCCCTCACACCGACCCTGTCTGAAGCAAACGCGGGCGCTGGGCTTCCTGTGGGCGCCACTCTTCCGCTCCGCCATGCTCTGCAACGAGGGGGGGGTCTCGCCAGATGCGGGAGGGGATCGGACGGTCCATCGATCGCTGGCTCGCAGCCATGGGCGAGCAGAGAGATGGTACTTCGTAGGCTCGTCGGTGAGGCAGTGCCTGATCCGCGCCGCTTCCCCTTGCAGGCGCAAGACGGCGTGAAACGACGGGTCGCGTAGGGGAGTTTCGGCACAATGGCGGCCCAAGAGCTCACGCTGTGTCGCGCTGCCCGAGTCGACCACGCCGTGTGAGGACCCCTGCGCGAAACTTTCACGCGATCGACGGTCCAAGGAACAGGGTTCTGGACACCGTGAGCAGGGTCGTATTCCCCCCCTCCCCCCCGAAGGAGCGAGGTCGCATCCAGATCCTCGGCGTTGCCAGGCTTGGCGGCGACGTCGGCGGCGACGGGAAAGGCCAGTCCTCGGGAACGCCCTGGGGTCCAGGAACCTCCCTCCTCCCTCCTCTCTCCTCCCTCTTCCTCCTCTTCTTCCCCCTCCCTCCTCCCTCCTCCCTCTTTTTCCCATCCTCGTCCTCCTCCTCCTCTTTTTCCTCCTCCTCCTCCTCCTCCTCCTCCTCCTTCTCCCCGGCAGCAGCAGCAGCAGCAGCAGCAGCAGCAGCAGGCGCCGCCCCCCCCCGCCCCAGGGTCCAGCTTTTTAAGTCCTGTTTCCTTCATGGCAGTGTTCATGGTTGCAGTGGATTTGCGCGCAAGAGGGTGCCGACATAATGACGACGAGGACTGACCTTTCTCACCTCGCGCTCGTCTTCAGCCGCCCTGGGTCTGGATTCCGATCGAAGATTTCCATCGTAAGACTCTGAAGAGGCTAAGGTTTCGCTGACCCTCGACATTAACTCGTCGCAGCGGAGTGACGCCAAGACGTTTCAGTTGCGGCCCTTGCTGGTCGCCGCCGGAGGCGGGAACGTCGGCGTGCTGGAGATAGAGGACACTGGAGAAGGGCGGTGCTCTTTTCTCCCAGTCCCCCCAGGCATGCTGTAGCCGAGAGCGCATGCAGATTACAGGCCCAATATGACCTATGATATCCATGGTGTTCCAGGTGGTCATCGTCGCGGCGTTGGTGTTTTTTTTTTGCCCCGTGGATCTCCCTCCAACCATGCCAGCACATGCGCATGGTCACTTTGCTTCTGCGCTGGGGCCTTAAGTCAGACGTAGTGCGGTTTCAAGCGCATGGGATTATTTGCCAAAGGATAGTTGTCAGTTGTCCAGCTTGTCTACCGTGGCCACCAGGTGACCGACTGACTCATTGATGGGTTAAGGCCCGAGGGGTGGGACTCCCTAAGGGGTGGGGGACCCCTCATGGGGTGGGACCCCCTGTGGGTTGGAACACCCCTGTGGGATGGGATGCTATGGGGTGGTACCGTCTGGGATGCGACCCGGCGGTGGGACCCTGGGGAGAAGCCGCCTTGAAGCGCCGTCAGCTGTCGAACTTTCGCCGAACAGGGCCAGGCGGTGAGACCTGGTGGGTCCCGAGTGGGCGGGACCATACGGGGTTGGGCGGGATCCTACGGGGGCCTTGGGGAGCCGCACGCAGCTTCCGAAGTCCCGCTGGGACGGGTTTCGGGGTGCGACCCGATGGGGTGGGGCCCTAGCGGGACCTGTCAGGCACTTGCCTAGTAGAAGTTCATGCCGAATCGGGCCAATTCAGGAGAGAGCAAGTTAGAGTCCCGAAGTGCAAGCAAGCATCTTGTTAGGAATGGCAGCCGCAGCCATTTTGCTACGCCTCAGCATCAGAATCTTGGGGTTGCAATCTCACGTGGTAGTAGAACCAGCTGCCTGCCCAGCCGTTCTGGGATGATCGGAAGCAAATACATGGGGCAGGCTAGATGGAGTTTCTCTCGGATGAGTTCAAACAGATGTCTCAGATACAGCTGGGGCTTCATCGCGCTCAATGGGTGAAGACTTGTTGCAATATCGTTCATTTTTAGTTCATACAGTTGGAATTCAAAGTCGGCGACACATTTGTAGGGATCGCCCTCTCGAATTCCTTATCTATATCCGCACTGCCAGTCTCATCAACTTCCTCACCAGATGACCGTCCCTCCTAGGATAACGCTACCTGGGAGCCGCCCAGCGGCTTTAGATCAGCCATCCTTTTCATTGTAAGGGCGCAGGAAACGTCAGCTTCAGTGCCATTGGTCGCATCGCAAGAGACCTCGCCAGGTGGATGTCCAGATGGGTAAGACTGTCAGCGCAAGGTTCTTCCATGATGCTTAGGTGCTGAATCCTCAAGTGGCGCCTGCTTAATCGACAATCACAGGCATGCCTCTCAAGGCGAGTTCCTGGTCGCTGTTTCCGTGGCGCCGTCTCTTATAACAGTAGGGTCACACAGTCCTCTCCAGGACCAGCAGGGCGCCAAACATACTGTCACTTCTTCGGGTTGGCCCGAGCGACATTCGAGCAAATTAGCAGCTGAATGTCAACGCCCCACTGCGGATGCAGGCTGGGGTGTGAGCAAGGGGACCTGATGTCGGCACGAGAAGAATGACGTCTACGCCGTGCGCAGCCTGACCGATCCTAATCTCTCACACCATTCGCACATCAGGATGTGATCGTATAATGTTTTGATGTTTTCCGAACATCTCCGCTCGGCCTCTTCTACGGTTCCAGATGGGCATGCTGGCTGTTCGGGAATTCGGGTACATTTTATGGCGTTGGCAGCACCCAGCTCCGTTTTGTTCGCGCCACAGCGCTTTCCGCGAGTAGGTCCAGGCATCAGCTTGCTGAGTGACCGCAGGAAGGGAAGGGGGAGTCGTCAGTACGGGTCAGTGGGCTGACTTTCGTTCGACACTCGCCCTTGTTATCAAACAGCTCGTCGCTCACAACTCATGTGTTCAGTCATTGTTGACGTCGTTGCGTACTCATTCTCACTTGGTACGCAAGCCGTTATGCTACCTCGCTTTGTGAGTTTGGTAACTGGCAAGAGCACGTGCTGATATCCGCCTTAATTGCTTGGCCCCACCTGCGGGGGACCTTAACGTACATGTCGTTTGGTCAGCAGAGGTCGACGGAAGATGTTTGTGGGATACAAATGAATAGCTCAGTCATGTCGTGGTGGAGGCCACCAGAAACCTTGTGTTTCGAACGGGGGGACGTTGTAGCCCCTCGACGTTGCATGTATCGTCGTTTTTGGCAATGACTTTAGGCAGCGTGCACATAGCAGCAGTTCGTTGTTAGTCCGTACGTTCTCTTGCTCCAGCATTGCGGCGCCTACGTGCGAGGACGCCAGTGCGGGCACATGGACGGCGACATCCACAGTGCCGCCGCCTCAGTATCCAGTGACCTTCGGCCATCCCGCCGCCGTGCCTGGGTCGTTGACCAGAGGCCTGCCGGGAAGCCTCTTCAGCTCATTTCGGAGACCTTTGGATGTCTTTTGGAAGCCTCTCTGGGGCGTCCTGGGGGCTTGTTGGAGGTCTCTTGAGGGCTTGGCCACTAGGGCCCTCTTGGGCCCGCCCCCAGGCCTTGCAAGACTGACGAAGAGGCTCCCAAGGGGGCTCTGAGACCCTTGGAACCATCTTAGGCCATGCCGTAAGTGTGGATTCAAGGCAACGCTCTCGAGGCCTCTGGAAAAGTCACGCGGGGAGGGAATAAAAAGAGCGCTCAGGAGCGCTGGTGACTCGGAACTCGGGCCCCTTCAAGAGTACATACTTGCAAATTCAGAGAACTCGACAGGACCTGGGAACACTCCACTCAGTGCCTACGGCACGGCACGGTGGCGGATTTGGCTGCGCGCAGTAGTTGGCATCTGTTGCGTTTGCGCATCATCGCCGAGTCATGTGCCGAAGGTGCCTTTGACAAGCCGCGGCAGTAATCAGGCTGAGGTCCTGGAGCGTCTACACCCCAGCACACGGTCTGGGCGGGTCAGCCTCGCTGAGTTACCAGAGGCAGATCGAGTGCGATGGCGGGAAGAAGAGGAGGAGGCGGAAGAGAGAGCGAAGGGCGGGGCCCTTGGACCGACAGTGGGGGCCTTCAGACCCCTGTGGACAGGGAGGGGGGGAAGGAGGATGAGGCGGAGGAGGAGTAGGTGGAGGAGGCGGAGGAGGAGGAGGAGGAGGAGGGGCTGGGGGTGGGGGAAAGTTGAGAAGCCTCAGATGCACGTTGGGCCCTGCCCCCCCCCTCGACCACCCCTGGGGACTTTCAGTCGGCTGGGCGGCGAGCTGTAGCGAGCCCGCTCGATCGTGGCATTTCTGCTGAAGTGCTTCCAAACCATCCTTTGTTTTGTGCCTCGCTTTGGGTAGAGCTCTTGCTGCTCTGTCTCTCTCTCTATATATATTTGTATTTGTTCTCCTGCTCTCTCTCCCTCCCTCTGTCTGTCTGTCTCTCTCTCTCTCTGTCGCACTCTCCCCAATCTCTCTCAATCTCTCTCTCTCCCTCTCTCTCTTGCTTTGTTTTTCTTTCATCATTTTTGTGGCATCTCTTCCAGTCTACATGTATACATACATGTCCTTACCTTCTTTGTCTCTCTCTCTCTCTCTCTATCGCTCTTTTCCGTTTTTTTTTTTTTTTTTTTTTTTTTTTTTTTTTTTTTTTATCTCTCTCTCTCTCTATTGAATCTCTCTTTCTCTTTCTCCTCCCGCCTCTCGCCTCCTCCATCCCTCATCCACACTCTTCTCGTCTCTCTCCTCCCTCCTCTCCCTCCACTCCTTGCTGCGCTGCCCCCGCGTGTGCTCGCTTCTCTTGGCTCCTTCGCTGGTGCTTCCAAGCGCGCAGTGGCCGCCCCTCCTTGCATCCTGGGGGGCCGGCGGGGCACCACCCCACGGGGGCAACCGTACGTCGCCTCCCCTAGGGGTGCTGCCAGCCTCACAACCATCAGGAGGAGAAAAAATCGTCGACTCCCAGGAAAATACGGGAACATGGGAAAGTGGGGGGGGGGGGAAGACGAGGGCCCAGAAAACAGAGGAAAATGCGGGGCGTCCTTCTGCTTGCGTGTATTCATCTGTGTGTCCCAGGGCCCCTTCGAACCACCCGCACCGCCTGCGCCCCCAGAGTGGGCCACCGCCAGCGTCACCGCCCAGCAGCCAGACGCGACCCTGCCTCGCCGTGCCGCCCTGGCGCTGCCTGGCCCCCGCGGCAGGCGGGCGGGGTGGGGGGCGAGGACGGCCTCGCCTCCAGGGGCCCCCTCGGGGACCTCGAGAGGCCGCTGGGCGACGTGGTCGTCGCCGCGGTCGTCGCCCGCTGTCGCCCGCCGCCGTCGTCGTCGTCGTCGTCGTCGTCGTCGTCGTCGTCGTCGTCGTCGTCGTCGTCGTCGGCCCCGGCGCCGCTGGCCACATCGCGGTGGGTGGCCGTCGTCGGGGGGGGAGAAGGAGGGAGCTCCGGCGCCACTGGGCGCCTCGAGCTGGCGAAGTCGGGCTCCGATCAGGGGCGTTAGGGGGGGATAGGCCCAGGGGCGCATGCATCGACCCCCACTCACCCACCCATTGATCGCCGATCGCCCATCCCAGCCAGGAACGTATGGATTCGCTACCCGGGCCAATCGCAGATTCATCTGCGATGTATCGCCGATTCCAGCTCGGTGTTTCCGCCCCCTCAGACAGTCACCCCCTAACGTTCCCCCTCACCTGACATTAATCCCTCCTCCCCCCCGCCCTCAGCGCGAACCAGACCCCCCTCCAGGTAATACTTACTATTTGGGTGTGGCCATTCGATGACGACGACGGTGCTGGCGGCGGCGCCGACGATGACGTCGACGACCGCGACGAACGTAACGGCGGAGGCGACGGCGGAGGCGACGGCGGCGACGACCACGAACGACCGACGACCACGACCGACGATTGACGACGACGAGGTCGGGGACGATCGACCACGACGACGACAACGACGACGACAGACGATGGACGATCGACCACGACGACGACGACCTCGACGGCGACCACGACGGCGACGACGGCGACCACGACGAGGACCACCATGATGACGACCACGATGACGACGACAACGTCGACGAATACGACGACGAGGTCGGCGGTGCCGCCAGCGTGGTGCGATCGCGGCGGGTTGCCGGGCACCGTGCAGCTCGCGGCGCTGCAGCCATGGGGAGGCCCCGTGCAAGCGTCGTCGCCGCCTCCGCCGCCGCCGCCGCCTCCGCCGTCGTCGTCGTCGTCGTCGTCGTCGTCGTCGTCGTCGTCGTCGTCGTCTTCCTCGTCGTCGCCGTCGTCGTATATACTTATCGTCGTCGTCGTCGTCGTCGTCGTCGTCGTCGTCGTCGTCGTCGTCATACGAGTGACGGTAGCCTACGGTAGCCTACCACCTTCACCAGCAGCTTCACGGGAACCTAAGCATTTTTTTTTTTTTTTTTTTTTTGTTTTTGTTTTTTTTGTTTTTTTCTGTTTTGGTTCCGATGCGGGTCTCAAGGCAGCCCGGACGGGCGTGCCAGCCACTGAATTGACTGGCGCAGCGGGTCCACGAGTGGCCGCGTAAGGAATTGTTCGATTGCCGGGTGAGGAGTTGAGCTCGCTTGGGGGACGCTGCATCTGATAGCCTTGATGTTTGAGGACCGGTTCGTCAACGACTGAGGCCCTAGAACGCTGCGCCCCTTCCTTCTGATGTTGCTTCTCATCCCCGCGGGCCAGAGGTCGAATGTTATGCCGAAGCGACAGGCTTCGGCAGCCCCGACCGCCCAGTGCAGAGAAGGTCCATCTAACGGCTCAGCCTCTGTCCCGCGGAGGAGAAGGAGCCTCTGCCTCTTTCTTCGCCTCTGCCTCCGACTCTGCCTCTGTCTCTGCATCTGCCTCTGTCTCTGCCTCTTTCTCTTCCCTAGTCGCTCCCTCTCTCTCTCTCTGTTGTCTATCTCGCTCTTTGCTTTTGGCTCTTGGCTCTTGTCTTCTCTCTCTCTCTCTGTTGTCTCTCTGTTGTCTCTCTGTTGTCTCTCTGGTTGTCCCTCTGTTGTCTGTGTTCTGTTGTCTCTCTGTTGTCTCTCTGTTGTCTCTCTCTCTCTCTCTGTTGTCTCTCTGCTCTCGCTCTGTTTCTCCCTTTGTCTTCGCCTCGTTCTCCGCTGCCCCGTGGCACCAACCTGGCTCCCTCCTTGCCGGCAAGGCCCCTCTTCCCCTCTCTGGCCCTCCTTCCCGCGGCGCCCCGCGTGGCATGCCTGGGGTCGCAGGGTCCCCCCTCCGAGCACTCCTCGGTGACTGCGCGGCGGTCAGGGCCGTGCCCAGACGCCCTTCTCCCGCCGCTGCGCGGCAGAGGCCATCCGCTCGCGCGAGCAGCAGCACCGGGCCACGGCGTTGCGAACTGGCCCGCGTGCGAAGAGTGGAAGTAAAGGGGAAAGAGGGCGGCCGCGGAGGGAGGCGACTGGGCGCGCGGGCACCCTCACGCGGCGAGCCGCGGGGAGCGCGCGGGGGCGGCCAGGCTGAAGGGCAGCCCCTGGCAGCGGCGCGGGGCGACATCGCAGCCGCGCCCAGACACCCTTTGCCCTGATTTTTCCGATGCGGGGTCCCCGGAAGTCCCGACCATTTCCCCAGGGCGGGCTTTGCATCCCGAGTCGTCCTTGTATGGTCTCAGGGCCCAGCGAGGGCCACTGGAGGCCGAAGACGGCAGAAACGTCTCTTGTTTGCTTTTATTCACGACGCGAGCATGTCTGGGTGCGCATGGTGCGCGAGCCCAATGCCCCATTCAGGCACGACTCGTGGGCCATGTGCTCGAGCTCTTTCCTCGCTTCCCGGGCGTCCTGCACGGGGTCTCCCGCCGCGGTCCCGCAGGAGCGGCCACGGCCGCCAGCGTTTCAAATCGGCAGAGGGGGTGAAGGGGAGGGGAGGGGTGGCGGAGGGCAAGAGGGGGAGAAGGAGAGGATGGGAGGGGGAACGCTCTCTCTTTCTCTCTCTCTCTCTGTCTCTCTCGCTCTTGCTCTCTCTCTCTCTCGCTCTATAGTTATATATACACATAATACATATGTGTGTGTAATATATATGTATACACACATGTGTTAATATATAAAGATGTAGATATATGGACAGCCCCCCCCAGCACCCATTCGTATCAGCATTAACTTACGACGGTGGTGCTATTCTTTTCTTCGTCCTCCGCCTCCTCGTTTTTGTTTGTTGTTTGTTTTGTTGGTGTTGTTGATGAATTTTCATTGCTGAAGAATAATAATTGTTAAGCCCCTCTCCGGTGCACATTGTATTTTTCAATTGAAGTGCCCCTCCCGGCACTCGCACCTTGTTTTTACCAGGGACATTCTTCCTCCTCAAGCTGTGCCCCTGGCCCCCGGTTTACAACAACAACGGCTCCCGCTTGATAGTTCCTCGCGATTTACTCAAGAATCGCGCTCCCGCCTGAGACTTCCTCGCAATTTACTCAGGCGCCGCGCTCTTGCCATTCAGGAATCGCGCGTTCGCTGGGGACTTCTTCAAATTTACTTAGGAATCGCTCTCTTGCTGGAAACTTCCTGGCTAATCACGCAGAAGTCACGAATACATATGTCCCCACCAAAAGCGGTATGATCGAAGACGAGGGCGGGTATCGAGGGTTTGGGAAATGCACGCTGAATGACACTCGAGCAGATAAGAGCGAACAGTTTTAAATTAACTGTTGTTGTTGTTGTTGTTGTTTTTGCTGCTCTTTTTTTGAATTTGTCCAAATTGCTGCTGCATTCTTAGTTATTTGTTTATTCCTCTCTCTCTCTCTATATTTCTCTTTCTCTTTTATACTCCTTTCCTCTTTTTCTTTATTTCTCTCTCTCTCTCTTTCTTTATATATATAGATCCTTCTATCTCTCTCTCGCTCTCTCTCTGTCTCTCTCCTTTTTTTTTTTTTCTCTCTCTCTCTCTCTCTATCTCTCCCTTATCTTGCTGGTCGGCTTTCCAAGGCGTGAGCTCCGATCCCCAGAATCCCAAACATCCAAATCAGAAGGCAAGGTTTGCGATTTCAGGGGTGCGAACATCTTGCCCCGAGCCGGCGTTGCGAAGCAGCGTGTTGCTTTCCCCGCAAGAGCTTACGGCATGCTTTTGGCGTGTCGGGGCCGCCTCGTTTGGAGGGGGCTGTGGAGCGGACATACTGGGCATTGCTAGGCTCTCTGGTCTATCGTGCTTCCGCCGCCCACGGCGCCCCAAACGCGGCCAGGAGCGGCAAGGCCACGCTTTCCTGAGGGGAAGTTTTTCGGGTACATGCCTGTCGCGGACACCTTGTGCTGTCATTTGGATTTTTGGAATTTCTGCGATGAGATTTGAGGAAACCCTTGGTTTTCATTTGGATTTTTTTTTGGGGGGATTTTCTGACCTCCAGCGAAAATCCCGCCCTGGAGCCCTCCCAGGAGCTCCGATCCTCAGAATCCAAAACATCCGAATGACAACGCAAGGCTTGCGATGCCAGGGGTGCGGAAAACTGGTGTTTTCATCATTTTTTTTTTTTTTTTTTTTTTTTTTTTTTTTTTTTTTTTTTTTTTTTTTTTTTTTTCTCCTGACACTTGGGATGAGAAATGCAGAGACTTGTTTCTTTGTTTTTTTGGTTCCTGTGGCTCTGAACCTTCGGGGGCGCCTGGGCGGGATTTCAGCTGGGAGATGAAAATCTTCCAAATCCTAGAAACCCAACTGATAACATACTGTTTCCCCACTGTTCATTCCAGAAATCCCGAACATCCACATGAAAACACAAGGTTTGGACATCCCTGGCGTCGCGAACCCTGCGTTTTCACATGGAGTTTTTTTTTTTTTTTTTTTTTTTTTTTTTTTTTTTTTTTGAGAATCTGGGATTATCTCTTCATCCGACGGGAATCAATTTTGAATCGGGCAGATTCCAGATCCAGCTGATTACAAGTATATTCCTATGGGTATGCAGTTGGAATCCAATTGGGGTGGAGTGGATCCCAGATTCAGCCAGCCAGTTCCAGGTCGATGCCTAGTGGAACCTCATGGGATCGAATTCGAATAAAGCAGATCCCAGATCCAGCTGGTGTAGGTTGGGTTCCCATGGGGATCTACTTATATTCTATTTGATATAGTGCAGATCCCAGATTCAGCTAATTCTAAGTGTCTTCATTCGAAATTAATTTCGAATCAAATTTGATTTCGGCAGATCCCATATTCAGCTGATTTGAATTGGAGTCCTATCGGAATGTAGTTGCAATCTTATGGGGGTGTAGCGAATCACATATCCAGTTAGGTCACATCGGGTTCCTATTGAGAACGAGTTCGAATATAATTCAAATTGGGCCGATTCTAGATGGAGCTGATTCCAAGTGAATTCCGATTGGGAGCAAACTTGAAATTAACCGGACGGGAGCAGATCCCATATCCAGCTGATTCCAAGTGGATTCCCATTGGGATATAATTCGAAACTAATTGGAATGGGGCAGGTCACAGGCCCAGCTGATTCAACTTGGATTCCTAGTCGGCTCTAATTGGGATGTGGCAGATCCCAGCTCCAGCTGATTTGAATTTGATTCCAAGTGCAATGTAATTCTGATCGAATTGAAATGGAGGATATCCCAGGTCCAGCTGATTCCAGTTGGATTCCTGGTGGGATCGAATGGGGAATTCTATAGGATGGAGCACATCCCAGACCCAGCTGAGTCCAATTGGATTTCTATTGCAATCTGATTAAAATCTAATCTGGAGTTGAGCAAGTCACATATTCAGCTGAGTACAGTTATATCCCTATCGAGATCTAAATGGAACCTAAGTGAGATCGAACAGATCTCAGATCCAGCCGATTCCATTTGGATTCCCATGTGAACCGACTTCGGATCGAATCGGACTTGATCAGACCGCGAATTCATCTGATTTCCATTATCGTCTTACTTGAATATATTGAGAATCTAAACGAACTTGGGCACATTCGAGATCCAGCTGTCTCGAATTTGATCAAAGTCGAATGGAGCAGATCCCATATCCAGCTGATTACAAGTCGGTCCCAGCACGAGAACACCGCGGATAAATGACGATTCGGCAAGTATGGATGAGCAGGCACGGATGGCAAGAAGGCGGATGATCAGTAAGAGCGCAAATGAAGACCTGGGGGGTCGGAGGGATGCATCTATATATATGTGTATATATACATATGTATTTATGCATTCGTCTATTTATTTATTTATGTGTTCATTGTATTTACTTATTTATTCATCTCTCTCTCTCTATATATATATATATATATATATATATATATATATATCGGAGTAGGCCGGGGGAGGGCCCAGAACTGCTGCCTCAGGTTCGCATGGGGGGCTGGGGGGGCTCCAAGAGGGTTCAGAAGAGGCCCCAGACCCCCCAAGAGGCTCCCAAGCTGGCCCAAGAGGCGCCCAAAACGCCCCAGGTTGTCTGGAAGGTGGCTGAAGAGCGTACTGAAATGGTATCTGGACGGGCCACGAGCGCTCAAAGACAACCCAAGACTGCTCCTAGACGGCCACAAAAGGCATTCAAGACGGTCCAAGAGGCAGCCGAGAAGGCCCTCCAAGGGCAAAAATCAAGCATTTCAGATGGGAAAACGTACATTTCTTGGATATTTGCTTTTCAGTCCTACCAGCGGCCGCGATGGCCCCAGAGGCTCCCAAAATGAGCTCCAGACGTCCCAAGAGGCTCCCAAGAGTGCCTCCAGACGGCCTGAAGAGATCTTCAAGCAGCACAAGAGAGCCCCAACACGGCCCAAGAGAGTACCAGGAACCCCGAGGGGGCCACCAGTGGATTTCTACATGATCGGAGGGGGCCCCTGGGCTAAGGTCCCCATGGCGGCCGAAGAGGGACCCAGAACGGCCGAACTGGGCTCCCAGAGGGTCCAAAAAGGCCTACCAGGTCTCCCTGAAGGCGGTCCAGGAGGCCGCTGAGAAGGCTCCCGGGCTCAGGTGCTCATGACGGGCGCAGAGGGACCCAGAACGGCCGAACTGGGCTCCCAGAGGGTCCAAAAAAGGCGGGTGCAAAAAGCGAGCATTCCCTATGGTAAAGCGTACATTTCTGTGATATTCACTTCTTATATTCCATCGGCGGCCACGTCGGCCCCAAAGGCTCCCCAAATCGGCGCCACACGGTCCACGAGGCCCCCAAGAGGGTCCAAGACAGTCTCAAGAGAGCGTCGAGCAGCACAAGAAAGCTCCAAGACAGCCCGAGAGAGTCCCCAGGGGGCCCGAGGGAGCCACCGGAGGATCCCTACATGGTCGGAGAGGGCTCCATGAGGGCCCCAAGACGGCTCAGTTACCCGTGAGATGCCAAGAGGGGCTTGGGATAGCCGAAATGGGCTCCCAGACGGGCCACAAAAGGCCCAAAATTACCCCCCACGACTGTCCAAGAGGCCGCTGAGAAGGCCCTTCAAAGGCAAAAATCAAGCACGTCCGATGGAAACACGTATGTATATTTCTGGGAGCTTCGCTTTTCAGTTCTACCAGCGGTCGCGACGGCCCAAGAGGTTACCAAAATGGGCCCCAGGAGGCCGCATAGGCCCCAAAGAGGGTTCCAAGATGGGCTGAAGAGAGCTTCAAGCGGCACAGAAGAGCTACAAGACGGCCCAAGAGAGCCTCCATGAAGCCCGAGGGGGCCACCAGAGATTCCAACATGGTCGGAGAGGGCCCCAGGAGGCCCCAAGAAGGGCTGAGCTCCCCACGACGAGCCAAGAGGGACCTGGAACGGCCGAAATGGGCCCTCAGACGGGTTAACAAAGGCCCCGAAGGACTCCAAAGGAAGGCCCGGAGAGGCTCCAGAGACTGCTACGATGCTTCCGAAAAGGCTCACAGCACGCGTTCCAGTAGGCACCCGTGTACTGGGTGCGTTGAGAGAAGAGGAGGAGGAGGAGGAGGAGGAGGAGGAGGAGGAGGAGGAGGAGGAGGAGGAGGAGGAGGAGGAGGAGGAGGAGGGGAGGAGGAGGAGGAGGAGGAGGAGGAGGAGGAGGAGGAGGGAGGAGGAGGAGGAGGAGGAGGAGGAGGAGGAGGAGGAGGAGGAGGAGGAGGAGGAGGAGGAGGAGGAGGAGGAGGAGGAGGAGGAGGGAGGAGGAGGAGGAGGAGGAGGAGGGAGGGAGGAGGAGGAGGAGGAGGAGGAGGAGGAGGAGGAGGAGGAGGAGGAGGAGGAGAGAGGAGTACTCGTCTCCCTCTTTCCCCTCCTCCGCCTCCGCCTCCGCCGCGTCCTTCTCCTCCTTCGCCGCGCTCCTCCGTGGTCGTTTTCGCTGCTCTTTCCTCCGTAGTCGTTTTGGCTGCCAGTGCCGTCCCTGTGTCTTTTCACTCGCTTCTCTCCCTCCCTCCCCTCTCCTCTCCTGCTCCTTGGCTCCGGCGGAGGTGCGCGGCGCCTAACGGTGTGGTTCGGTGGCGCACGCCACACGGCCGCGGCCCCGTCTCCTCCGTCTCCCGGTCCCTCCTGGCTCCCTCTCCCTCTCCCCTCTGCCTCGCCGCTGCTGTTCTTTAGGGGTGTGCCCTGTCGCCGGCGCCCGGGTGGAGTGGCGCCCTCCACCCTGGGTGCTGAGAAACATTCCGGATGGGCACACCCCTTCCTTGTTCGAGCGTTTGCTTCTGCTGCTTCTCGCCCGCTTGTCTCGCTCGGGGCCCTTCCTGTCCCTCGTGGGTGCTGCTTCAGGCTTGTTCCCAAGATCTGGCGGGGCCCCGGATAAGAACTGCGTTGGCTGCGCACGGCGAAGTTTTTTCTGGGCCGGCTTCAACACGGGGCCGGCCCGCGGTGGCGTGAAGGACGTGGACCGGGTCGCTGCAGGCAGCCCCTCCAGAGCCGCCTGCTCCGCCATGGCCGCGGGCGGCGGGGAGGAGGAGAAGGACAAGCAGGAGGAGGAACAGGAGGAGGAGGAAGAGGATGATGATGATGATGATGATGATGATGATGATGATGATGATGATAATGATGATGATGATGATGATGATGATGATGATGATGATGATGATGATGAGGAGGAGGAGGAGGAGGAGGAGGAGGAAGAGGACGAGGAGGTGGGAGAGGACGAGGAGGAAGAGGACGAGGAGGAGCAGGAGGAGGAGGAGGAGGCGGAGGAGGAGTAGGAGGAGGAGGGGGAGGAAGACCAGGAGGACGAAGAGGGGAAGAGGAGGGGGAAGAGGAGGAGGGACATTGTTCTTGTAAGATTAGTTTCTTCTCTGATTCTCTGGCTCGGGGAGGGATGCTGAGGACGAGGAGGGGAGGGGGGCGCAGGATGAAGAGGGCTCGAAAAGTGGAAGTAGGTGAAGTAGGTGAAGGAACGCAAGGGGGGACACACCGAAGAGCGGGGAAGACAGGGAAGAGGAACATGAGGAGGAGGAGAAGGAGGAGGAAGAGGAGGAGGAGGTGAAGGAACAGGGATCCCTTTCAGGGAGACGCCGACGAGGAAAAGGATGAGTAAAAAATGACGGGAAGAGGGATAACGGTAAGAGGAGGAGGGTAAGTGGATTGCAGTGGATCGGGGATGATGACGGCGATGACGCTGATGATGATGACGACGAGGACTATGCCGACGACGATGCCGACGACGACCAACAAGATGTTGATGATGCGGATGATGATGGTGCTGAAAAGTACGATGACGATGATGGCGATGGTGATCACGATGCTGACGATGATGGTGATACTGATGATTGTTGTGATGGTGAAGGTGAGGGTGACGATGACGATGACGATGACGATGACGATGACGGCGATGAGGATGTCAAGGATGGCGATGAACATGACCCTCGCTAGAACTTGAGCGCGCGCGAAGCGCGCGATGGTTCTAGTACATAAAGACGCTCCTATATACACATACACACATATGTACACGCACATATATATATATATATATATATAAATATATATAAATATATATATATATATATATATATGTATATATATATTTACACACTCGCGCAGTCATACATGTATGTCTGCTTACACGTTCTAAATTTCCGCATGTATATGTGGATGTATGCGTATACATGTATAGGTGCACCTAGAGTGTGATATCATCGCTTTAACTTTCTCGCGATCGTACCCTCTAGCTTGCACCTTGCTAGCTCTGGGGAGCCACACGCGAGGCAGATGCAGCGGCTGCTGGCCGTTGAATGCAACGGGCAGGGCACACACAACAAAACTCTTGGGACGGGGCAGCTCGCCAGATGCTTAACTTTCACTTCGCTGCAGGGTAGTTCACATACAATTGACTGATGAGCACAGCAGCACAAGAACGTGGCTGAGGCCTGCAGGAAGAAACCGCGGAACGTGAGGTAGGCCTATTGTCGTATGCCATGCGTTCGTGTGAACAGAGAAGTGAGCACACATCCAATAGGCACAAGACTGCACTGGGAGTCCCCGACCGATGATGTGCATACTCCCAGGCCCAGGAAGAAATGAAACAGTCCACCCAGCTATCATTATGGTTTCGTCCCCAGCTTGCGGGCCGTGTTGGTCCTCGGTGCTCGACTGGCCGTGGGATTCCCGCCAGCTGCACGCACCAACTCTCCCACAATCGTGTCCATACCAAGAATACTGCCCTTCATCTGGTAGTAGGTCGATGGCACCTCTGGTAGTGTGAGCTGCTGTAGTGGGCGGTCTTGCACCTCCAGGGCCTCCATCATTCGCTCTGCGTCGTTCTCGCCGTCTGGTGCTGGTCCGTGCAGGCTGAAGATAAGGCTCGATTTCCTGGGCTGGTTTGTGCAGGCGGGAGCGGCCCAGGGGACGGGGCGGAGGAGAAGGAGGAGGGAGGAGGAGGCAGGAGGAGGAGGAGGTGGAGGAGGAGAAGGAGGAGGAAGAAAAGGAGGAGGAGGTGGAGGAGAAGGCGGAAGGAGGAGGGGGGGGGCAGGAAGGCAGGAAGGCATGAAGAAGGAGAGGAGCGACGAGCGGCCAGCACACTGCAGGCGCCCCGCGACGCCACGGTCGGCCCCCCCCCCGCCGCCACCCGGCCGGCCGCGAGGCGTGTCCTCGGCCGAGTTCTCCTGGGACGGGCGCGCGTGCGCGGCTCCCCGGGCGGGCGGCGGGGCCCAGGGGCACCGCGGGCTTTCTGGGCGGAAAGCGAGCGGGGCGGGGAGCGGGGGGCGGCCAAGAGGAAGGCGACGACTAGGCCCTAGTCGTCACCCTCCTTTTGAATCAGAGTTCCAGCGCAGACATGACTCAGACCTTCATCAGAGTTTTGGGCCCGAACAGAGAAACGGAATTTGCCCCCAAGGGACACACTCAAGACTAGGGCGGCGGTGGACATCCTGGCCGGGGCCATGAGGTCTTCCCAGATCTCATGGCGCCCATTCGCATTTCGATGCGTCCCCCGGTTCCCCCCTGGGCCGCGCGCGTGCCTCGGGTCATGATTTGCACCCCCCCCAAACCCAACGCCCCCCTTCTTGGGGGTTGATACGTTTTAAGGCTAATTCGTGTCCTTCGGCATCTGGTTTCAATTGTCTCCTCCTCCTGCTCCTCGCCAATGCAGAAGCAGGCACTTTTGGCACGCTAGCCGTTCGTGTATTGCATACGCTTGCATCCTGTTGCGACAACTGTGCGCATATGGCGAAACGCAGAGGAGCCGCGACAGGCTCGACACCAGACAGAAACCACCGAGCGAGTATAAACAAAGTCCAACCGCACGCCCCCCTTCTTGGACGCCCCCCCCCCTGGACGCCCCTGAGGGAGGAGAGGCGCATGGGCGGACCGTCGAGATTCCAGCATCAATGTCTTTCAAGGTGTTTCGCCCTTGGGGGCCTCTGGCAGGCTCCTCGTCGCCACGGCTTCCCTGGCCAGAGCAAGGCTGGGGGGCCGATCTTTGGCCCCCGCTGCTGCTCGGAGACTGCGCGAGCTGGGGTGGGGAGTCCGCACCAGCGGGCGAGAGGCAAGCTTGCATGGGCGTGCCTGGTTCTTGGCTGCTGGCGTGATCCAGGCGTCTTTCCGCGCCAACGCCCCATGCGGCCGCCCTGAGCGGGCATGCATCATCACCATTAGCATCACCATCACCATCCCGCGATCACTCACCATTATCGGCATCGAACGATCATCATCATCATCATCATCATCATCACTACTCGCTGACTTGAGGCCTGAATATGGAGGAAGTATCAGGCGGGAGCCTCGTCTGTGAGTGAATTGTGAGGGAGTCTCAGGTGGGAGCCCCCTCCCTATGGGGCCCGCAGATCATGTTATTAATCCGAGCGGGTCATCGGATTCCTGTAACTGTCGTCACTTTTGGGCTCCTCAGGTCTGAATTCTTCACGCTTCGCGTATCCCCACCAGCCCATCTCAAAACAGCAACTCTAGCGAAGCATGTCGACAGTCGTGTTTTTCAGGCGTGTTTCCGCCTGCCCCCGCATATCTCCCCTGTTCCTCCTTCCTCCCGCCTCCTTGTACATCCTCCTGGTGGTGGGAGCGGGAGAAGGACGAGGCGGAGGAGGAGGGAGAGAAAGCGCTCCTCGTGGTTTGAGTCGTTGGGGTTTCTCGTCCTGGTGTGAGTCGTTCGGGCCCTTCTTCCTGGTGTGAGTCGTTCGGGCTCTTCGTGGTGTGAGTCGTTCGGGCTCTTCGTCCTGGTGTGAGTCGTTCGGGCTTCTCGTGGTGTGAGTTGTTCGGGCCCCTCGTCCTGGTGTGAGTCGTTCGGGCCCCTCCTCCTGCCCGTCCAGAAACGACGCCCAGGCGAGTAGAGGGTCGTCCTGATGGGCTTTTCGGCGTCTTGGGTGCCTCGGGGGGGCCTCTTTGGGCCGTTTGGGATCCTCTTGGGGGCCTCCTGGGGGCCTCTTGGGGCCATCTTGGGGCCTCTTGGTGCCTCCTGGGCGCTTCTTGGGGCCATCTTGGAGGAACTCGATCAAAGAAGAGGGGAGCTTTAATTAGCGCTGCCCCCTCAGAAGGCCAAAATGGAAGTATCAGGCGGGAGCCTCGTCTGTGAGTGAATTGCGAGGAAGTCTCAGGCGGGAGCCCCCTCCTTATGGGGCCCGCAGATCATGTTACTAATCCGAACGGGTCATCGGATTCCTGTAACTGTCGTCACTTTTGGGCTCCTCAGGTCTGAATTTGGAGGAAGTATCAGGCGGGAGCCTCGTTTCTGAGTGAATTGCGAACAAGTCTCAGGCGGGAGCCCCCGCCGTATGGGGCCCGCAGATCATGTTATTAATCCGAGCGGGTCATCGGATTCCTGTAACTGTCGTCACTTTTGGGCCCCTCAGGTCTGAATTTGGAAGAAGTATCAAGCGGGACCCTCGTCTGTGAGTGAATTGTAAGGACGCGTCAGGCGGGAGCCCCTTCCCTATGGGGCCCGCATATCATGTTATTAATCCGAGCGGGTCATCGGATTCCTGTAACTGTCGTCACTTTTGGGCCCCTCAGGTCTGAATTTGGAAGAAGTATCAAGCGGGAGCTTCGTCTGTGAGTGAATTGTGAGGAAGTCTCAGGCGGGAGCCCCCTCTCTATGGGGCCCGCAGATCATGTTAGTAATCCGAGCGGGTCATCGGATTCTTGTAACTGTCGTCACTTTTGGGATCCTCCGGTCTGAATTTGGAGGAAGTATCAAGCGGGAGCCTCGTCTGTGAGTGAATTGTGAGGAAGTCTCAGGCGGGAACCCCCTCCCTATGGGGCCCGCAGATCATGTTAGTAATCCGAGCGGGTCATCGGATTCCTGTAACTGTCGTCACTTTTGGGATCCTCAGGTCTGAATTTGGATTAAGTATCAAGCGGGAACTTCGTCTGTGAGTGAATTGTGAGGGCGTCTCAGGCGGGAGCCCCCTCCCTATGGGTCCCGCAGATCATGTTATTAATCCAAGCGGGTGATCGGATTCTTGTAACTGTCGTCACTTTTGGGCTCCTCAGGTCTGAATTTGGAGGAAGTATCAGGCGGGAGCCTCGTTTGTCAGTGAATTGCGAGAAGTCTCAGGCGGGAGCCCCCTCCCTATGGGGCCCGCAGATCATGTTACTAATCCGAGCGGGTCATCGGATTCCTGTAACTGTCGTCACTTTTGGGCTCCTCAGGTCTGAATTTGGAAGAAGTATCAAGCGGGACCCTCGTCTGTGAGTGAATTGTGAGGACGCGTCAGGCGGGAGCCTTCCTATGGGTCCCGCAGCTCACGTGGTTCCTCCGGGTCATCCTCCGGCGCGCGCTTCCTCTGGGTCGTCCTCCGGCGCGTATCGGCTGGGACGCACGTCGTGCGCTTCCTCTGGGTCGTGTTCCGCACGAGGACGAGGAGGAGGAGGATTGCCAGGAAAAGGAGGAGGGATGATGCAGGACGAGACAGGAAAGCAGGAAGAGGAAGAGGCTGAGGGGAGGAAGGACGAGGAGGAAAAGGAGGAGGAGGAATGCCCGAGGAGGCCCCAGTAGGTCCCGGAAGGCCCAGAAGGCTCCAGGAGGCCCCAAGAGGCCCCAGGAGGCCCCAGGAGGGGGCAGGAGGCCTAAGGAGGAGGCAGGAGGAGGAGGAGGAGGAGGAGGAGGAGGAGGAGGAGGGGGGGGAGGAGGGGGGAGGAATATGGGAGGAGGAGGAGGAGGA